TCGAAAATCTAAATCGGGTTCTCGAATTGACGAAGGATGGGATGCTCTCTTTTTTATTGCTATTTTCCTTAATTGTGGTGTTAAGGTCATCATTAAGATTTCTGTCATCTTTGTGTTTTTATAGTCATGTGTATTTAATGAATATGCTTTTCGAACTAGTGTTTCGATTCGTACTGCTATTTGCTTGATGGTTTCATTTGGTAATCTGCGAATTTCATTACATAAAACTCTTTGTTGTTGTTTGTTTCTTTCGGAGTCAAACATTTTTGAAAATTCCTGTGTAAACCTTTTCCAGTTTGATTTTATTTCTAGAGGTAGTACTGAAAACCATTTTTGGGCTGCGCCATCTAGAGTTGTTTGTATTAACGCTGTGCGTCGATGTATCCAGTTTTGATGTAGTGGCGTATTAATTGGTTCAGGTCCTATATTTAAAATCAAATTTGCTGTGACTGCATTTAAATAGTCTTCTACAGAATATTCAGGGTCTGTTCCTGTGAATACCATTAAAGGTTTATTTGATGTTATTGATGATCCACCCATAAGGTATGGATTCATCGTCATTTGTAATGATTCTGCTGCATTTGGCATTTGAGAAAAATTTGAAAGTTGATTTCTTGTTATTTCGTGTTGTTGAAGATAATATGGGAGTGGTATTTCATTTTGCATTTGTGCTGGTTGGTACGAGTTTGCAATCATTGGGTTTTGTTGCTGAATTGGTTGAAAAGATTTATTAATTGGGTTTTGTTGTTGAATTGGTTGTTGAATTTGTGTATCTATTGGTTGTGGAGAAAAAATTCTATGATATGTATGTGGTTTCTGTATTCCTTGTCCACGATATTCTTGATTATAGGGTGTAAATATATCTGGTTGTAAGAAATCATCATCTGAGGATAAGTAATCCATTTGATAAGATGTTTGTTTTTTATTTTTATTTTGTTGAAAAAATGGATAGTTTTCACTACGATCCTGTGGAGGATGTAAATTTGTGTGGAAATTTACTGAATTAGGTGGTGCCATTGGGTTATCCCAGTTTCGAGATCTTGTATAATTACTAAAATTTTTTCGTGGTTGATAACTTGTTTTTGATGGATGTGTGTAATTATAATTATGGTCTGCAAAGTTGTTTCTAGTGAACGTTTTGCGTGTTTTTGGCGGTATTGTCATGGGTCTGTATGTTTGGTAATCCATGTGTGAATATTTTGGAGCAACCGAAGGTTTAACGGTTGATTGTAATGTTACCTGTGTTTGTGAAGAATTTGTATTTCTTGGTGTTGTTAAGTTTGGACGTATTGGTGAAATACTTTGTTGTGTAGTTGTTGTGTGTACGATTTCTTCATTTATGAAGTGTGATGGTGTCTGGATATCTTGTTGAGTAAGATTCCTAGTTCCATTGAGGTTTTCATTGTGTATGACTGTAGAGTTTAAACTATTATTTTGCATATCGGGTAAAAATGTATTATAGTTTAATGGTGTTGCATCAATGGTTAATGGTATTACTCGTACATAATCTCTTACATAAGATATCGTACTTATTGCTTGACTTGAGATTGATTGTGGGAAGTTTATGAATGCGGGATGAGACCATTCGGGGTCCCAAACATAGTCTGATTGTTCTGTGATGGCAGTATCATCGTTGGAGTTTTGGGGTCTAAAATTTTTTCTTGCTTGTGAAATTAAATCAATATTATGTGTGAAATAATCTATTATGAACCATGCCAAGATTTTTTGTAAGTCGTGTTTTGTATGTTGTGAAACTTCATCTTTCGTGAAATTTTCTTTAATTATATTTAGAAAACTAGAGTAGTGTGATTTCATGTCGTACTCTTATATGTTTAGATGTTTCTGTTGGTGAGACATTTGGTATCTGGATTTCGTTTTCTAATATCGAGATATAACTATATATTATCGCAAAAACTTCATTGGTGAATATGGAGTTTGCTCTTTGTGAGTTATTATATTGGATGCTTTTTATATATTCTGAGAATATTTTTGAGAATTCTAAATCAAGGTCGTCTGTTTGAATTATATATTTACTGTGATTCTGGTTTGGTGAGCTGAATTCTATGGAGTAGATTCCGTATTGTTGTGTTAGGTTACATATATCTTTTAGATAGTGATCGATAATTTGTCTTTTGATTTTTACATCTGGGAACTCTGTTTTACATGGACTGATTCCGGGTTCAAACAAATTTAAGAGTAAATTTTGCAGAATATATGCTGTCCTCTATCAGTGGTTGCGTCTACGATAAAGGGGAAAATATCATCATCATCTGGACTTTCTTCACCTGGGGTGTGCGTTGAGCTCATTTTTTCGTTCGATGACTGTTAATATGTAATTATCAATGTGTCTAGTTGGTTGATTCCAATTGTATAAATGTACTGGTTTGTGTTTATACTGCTTTTTTATTCTTCTTTTTCCTCTTTTTGATGAATTTGAAGTTGTTTCTGAGTCAGAGAAATATAATTGATCGTGGATTGGGCAATTTTTATCTATTGATTCTTTTAGTTTATAAAGTTCGTCTAAACTGTTGGTTTCTGATTCTGAAAATGCGTTTCGATTTTTTGAAAATCTTTTTCGTGTTATTTGTCTTTGTTTAGTTAGTATTTTTCTCTTTAATGTTTGTCGTTTTGTTCTAATGTATCCAACTGTTTGTGTATGAGGTGTGATTACAAGGTCGTATTTTTTGTTATTTATTTCACAATTGTGTAAAACGATTGTTTGTTTATTTCCTAGGTTTTTAAATGACATAAGGTTTAGGATGACGGATGCAAAAGGTTGTTAAATGATTTCTATTTGCTTAAACTGTTAGTCCTTACGATTTTTTGTTAGCCTAACCTGGGTCTATTTGTTCAGGGTTGGGGAGAAAAGTATATCGATTCCGAAGAATGATTTTATACTTTCTCGTGGCTAGTATAAGCTAAGGTGTTAACTTACTTAATCTTACTTAAGGGTAGTGATTGTGTTCAGGGTTGGAGAATAGTAAATCGATCCACAGGGTTCAGGTATAATTAGAACGCGAGTAGTTCGTTAGATACTATTTTAAACTTACTAAGTCTAAGATTTATCCTGGGTCTGGTAAGAGGGGGGATCAAGTGAAGGATGAATAACCGAAGTTCTTCACTGTTTATCCTAATTTGAATGATTAGTTTTGTTCAAAAATTTCTATTAGTCCTGGGTTTTTAGAAAGGGTTGGATAGTGAATCGACGTTTGAGGTCGTTAGACACTCGTTTAACTGGGTGGGGGAGAACAAAGTTGTTCTTTTTGATCCAAGGATAGGCCTTGATGATCAAGTTTTAAATTTAATTAAATAGAAAATGATTTAAGATCCAAGGATAAGCCTTGATGATCTGATTTTAAAATTAAGTGAATTTAAGTTCAAAATGTTTTAAATTTGTGTAAAGAATAGATTTAGTATTTTTATGATATTAGTGAGCTTATGATTGCTGTTATGTTTAGGCGATGAAGCTGGAACAACAGGATGATTTATAATTACTAATCATTTATTGTCATGCTACTAATTTTTATTTTGATTTTTCAATAAATATTTTTCAAACATGTTTTGTATATTACTGCAGAATTTTGGAAAACGATCTGAGATCTTTTTATCAATCGTTATTGTATATTAATAATTTTGTTTAGCGCCTGAAATGATTTTGAAGATTGACTTCAAAATTTTATGTTTGCAAATGAAAATCTAAATTCATTGCTAGTAGTATTCTAAATACAAAAGTTTGTTCTGGCTTTTGCCGAACTATCATATAACTATATGGTAAGTTTCTGCTTTGTCGTATGTCGTCTCTGGTTCGAGGTCTTCTTCCAATTCCGGGTAGTTCTGTTATCGTTCGGAATATTGGCTCTGATCTATTGAGTCGTAGAGACATTTCGATTAAATTATTGTCGTATAACATTTTGTAAATGTTTTGTCTAATTTCTAATCTATTATTGGTTAATGCTAAGCTATTAAGGTCTTGTTCGAGACTTATGGTCGCACCAGATGAGTTAGGACCGAAGTGTATAACTCATAGAGTAATTTCGGATAGGGTACACCGTCTGCTCGTCACGCTATCTTATTTTCGGCCGGATAGATTCGTGCAACTTCTTAGTCTAATACCGATCCTAATCTTACTCTTATACTATCTAGTCTCAGGTTGTTTAACTAGTCTCTGCTAGGCTCAATAGATCTAGGGTATACTGGTTTATTGCGGCTGCTGAAGTACTCGGGAGAGTTCAATTAATTTCTAAGTTAAATTCAAATCTCTCTGGTGCTGAAATTACAAGTAATTTCAGCACTTACAAATAAGTGGATTGTTAGTTAGATGGATCATGATTGGTTAATATTAAATACTTTACATTGGTAAAATATCTAATTTATCCAATCATAAAATGTAGTTTAGATCAGGTTCCACACTTCTCGAAAGCAGTTTTTTCAGAGTAACTTACTGATAATGTCACCCTGTTCCAATACTTTACCCTGATGTTGTCTCTCCTTGGTGTAGTTTGAGGCAAATGTAATTACAAGTTTTAAATAGTAAATCAAGTGCTTTTAAGTATTTATGTAAGTATAAGTTTCAAATCCAAATTGCTCTTTTTTGAGATTTTTCTTCGTTCAAGGTTTGAAGACTGCGTTAGAAATGAGATCGACTGATTTCTAGCTGATCATTCGATCGCTGAAATTTTCTAACTCAAATGTTCCTATCGAAGAAAAAAAACATATGCCGTAGTTGGTTTTGAGTCAAGGCAAATATTAACGTTAACTGCATCGTTCGAAAAGCGAAAATAGATTTTTTATCTGGGTGCGCGGGGTAAGAGAGAGAGGAAGCTATTAAAACTAATACGGGCGTGTACCCAAGTATATTTGCTCTAGCTACAGCTTCGAAAATATTTTCAATATTCATTTTTTTCTGGGAACTACTTTCAGACTTGTTTTCCTCTGAGTACAAGCTCGGAATCTAGGGAATTGTTTTTATGTCAAGATTTCGAATGATTGGTTTTTTATAGGGCAGCCTATTTCGATCTGCAAACGTTCAACATTCACTACCCCCGCGACAAGCCCAAGTATGATCCTGAGATATGTAAATCAATAAGCGAAGAAAAAGCGCGGTTGGCTACCGTACCACCCTACAGAGAATACACGAGCGAGCATTTGAAATATCTTCCATTAAAAACTGTATCTTGTGGACCGCTGGGAGTCCTAGAACGTGGCGATACCTCGGATCCAGTTTTTCCAGATAGTTCAGACTCCGAAACTGAGGTAACCATTGAAGCGCCGGAGGTGAATCCGGTTGTGCCGCCAAATCCAACCAGCAATTCCAAACCTAGCTCGTCGAGTAGAAGTTCAAAAAGCGGATCAAAACCTAGAAGATCGGCAGCGAAAAGACAAGCAGCAAATAATGACAACGGAATTGATGAAAAAAGTTGTTCGAGTCCAAAATCCCGAAAATCTAGTGGCGCATCCTCGACCGCGTTCAAAGAAGAATTACCGTCGATTTCAGTTGACAGCATGACAAACATAGCTTCAATTTGCGGCATTTGTTTCAAAAATAACCAAGAAAACAAGTTCAATCAACAGGAAAACTTGATATCTTGTTCTCAGTGTACCAATGCGGGACATCCTACTTGTTTAGAGCTTACAGATAGTATAGTTAGCGTGATTATGACTTATAACTGGCAATGTATGGAATGCAAAGTATGTATGACTTGCAAAAGCGCAACAGATGAGGAGAATTTGATGTTTTGTGACAATTGTGATCGCGGATATCATTCGTATTGTGTAGGCATGACTGAAATACCCAGTGGTAGATGGGTCTGTGAAATTTGCGGAGATTGTGTTTCATGTCTAAAAATGGAAAAGGAATTGAGCGGTGAATGGAAGCAAGAATTTACGCGGCCCAGAGATAAAACGGAGCCTAAATTCCTGCAACGCCATTGCGACGAATGTTCAAGGCGGTTCAACAAGGGAGAGTTTTGTCCGATTTGTCTTAAGGTATGTTTTTTATTTTTCTTGAGGGTTCTTCATATGATTGAGGGAGAGCGAGTTAAACGAAAAGTGCGGGCCTTGAAACTTGAAAAAAAAATTCGTCGCCTCAAACTGTCAGTCGAAGAAAAAAAACATTTGTCTCGATAAAAAAGCTGTCGGTGATTTGAAGATTTTTTTGGACGAAAAACACAGGGCTAATAAAACTTATTGCTCGAAACAAAGTTTCACAAATACAAAGAGTGTATAATCTTTTCGCGTATCAATATATTTATTATAATTGATTTATATAACGTTAATCCAAAGATTATAAAAACATTTTTGAAAAGCATAGAATATAAAATTGCGACATGTGAAAAACTGATTCGCATTTAAGAAAGCTCGAATGAAAGTTAATTCTAGCCAGCGAAAGTTAATTGTAGTAAGCGAAATTCACACGAATTAAGAATACAACTACGTCTAATTTCCCATATTTGTAGTTTTGCATCGACATTTAAATTCAATTTTTGACCACGTCTAATTTGCTTTTTGTCTAAATTCCGAGGCCTCAGTATTTAAGAATATCTTCGACTTCACCTCACAAAACTATTGACTTATGTAAACAACATTTATTTATTTATTTTATTTAAATATTCATCATGAGTAATCAAATTATCATTACACAATATGCAAAATTTCAAAAAATAACTCATGATAGGACAACCAGAAAGCCAACGAGAGGCTTGTTGAAGGTTGCCCCGTAAAGGAATCACATCATATGACATCAGATCAAAAGGTTCAATAATTAATTTAGGTCAAAGAGGCAAATTTAAAGCGAAAGAAAAAAAACAAGACTTAAATAGTGCAATCACTCTTTTTTTTAAATTTAAGATCTTTATTCTTTAACATGAGAACCAGAGATATGATGCAAGCTTATACTTACAAGGGTATACAATTGACAGCGGGCGGTTGCGAAATAATGACAGTTAATTTAATCAGCGAGCAATTGGGCCCAGTTCTTAAGAGCTGGTAATCCAGTTGTTCGCTTTTTTCTAACTCCCCTTCTTATTGTCCACTGCCTGGTACCTTCGACGAGAGGTTATCAGGTCTAACCGAGGACTCAGGGAAGTTAGAATGGCTTAGTTTAAGTCTAGCGATATAATTCATCAATCAAATGGCAATTTCTTATTATATATGAATCTAAGATTGAATGACAGAAAGCCTTTTTTGAATAATGGGTTTCAAAGGAGGAAGGTATAGTTACACACCAATTGGCTAAGATATTGATTAATTTGGCAACACGATGAGAAACAGATTTATATTTAAGCTTACTTTTCATTGATGGTAAAATACGAGCAATCTTTACTGATGACCTCGTTGAATAAAAAATAGTTTCACATTTCTGAGACAATTTCTTCATTGACTTTTTTCTTAAGAATTTCATATACATGTAACTCGTATACAGTAGCAATTTTGCTTTTGGCCATTATATCCGTTATCGAGTCACGATAACTTTTGCGAAAAGTTATACGAAAAAATCGTTTTTGTAGTTTATGAATAACATCTAATGCACTTCTGCAAATTGCTCCATAAACAAGAACTCCATATTGAATACAATGTTGTAAATAAGTTTTGTAGTACATGACCATTTGTGAAATGGTCATCACATTACGAAGCCGGTATGCAACTCCGCAGAAGCGGGTTAATTTTTTTCGTAACATCTCAATATGATCTTTGAAGGATAGTTTATTATCCAATTCAATGCCTAGGTATTTGCAGCTAGCAACGGGCTGTAAACAAGTGTCTGCAAAATATATAGCATCAGCTTTGGATTTTGAAAAAAATTAGTAGCTTAGACTTCGATCCTTCTACGGTAAGTTTATTAAACTTCATCCAATTATCTATTCGATTTATATCCTCTTGAAAGTCATCAAGGGAAGCGTTTTTGTTTTTAATAACAGATGTATCGTAATCAAACAAAGTAAGTCGGCAATTTCTTACAATTCTGGGAAGATCATTGATATAGATCAAAAAGAGCAACAGTTCTAACACTGAACCCTGTGGCACCCCGCACAAAACATCTTTCAATTCGCTTTTAAATTGATTTAGGACAACATACTGTTTCCTATTAGACAAGTAACTTCTTAGAATTTCCAGCGACTTTCCTCTTACTCCATACCGCTCTAATTTATCAATTAAGATCGCATGATTGACAGTGTCAAAATTTTTTTCAGATCTAATAAAACTAACATAACGTCTTTTTTCTTCTGATCTCTCAGGTTACGAACCTCTTCTGTTAGATCTAGAACCGCTTTAATTGTGCTTAATTTACTACGGAAGCCATATTGATTTGTACTGAGCAACTTGCATTTTTCTAAATAACTAGTTAATCTGAAATGAATTGTCTTCTCAAAGGTTTCTGATAGCGTTGATAACAAAGAAATGGGTCGATAATTTCCATATTCGTTTTGCAATCCACCTTTATGAATCGGAAAAACTTTGGCAATTTTTAAATATTTCGGATAGCACCCATTTGTGTAGCAGGTATTGAAAAAGTTCGTGAGCCATGGCGTGATCATTGGTTTACATAATTTGACTATTGCTGTTTTGATGCAAGCACAACCCGAGCTGAGTTTATTTGGTAATTCTGTTATTATTTGTTCTATTTCTGTTTCCTTTATACTCGGAAAGAACATTGAATAATCAACATTTTATAATGAAATAGGATCTGCAACTCCGATTTTATCACTTAGATTTGGACCAATATTTACAAAAAAAATGTTTAAATTTTGAGCTTTTTTTTTCATTTATATCATCTGGCAACGTTACATTTTTATGTTTTCCCAGATATGCTGCAACCGCTTTGTGATACTTATGAGAGTCTGTTGTATTTAGCTTAGATCTCCAGAAACTTCTGAATGATTTCCGATTCAGGGCATTGGATTTGTTTCGTAATGAGTTATATTTGATCTTGTTATCTTCTGTAGGGTTTTGTATATATGTCCTGTATGCGAATGCTTTTTTATTTGCGACTTTTTTCACTTCATTTGTCACCCAGGACTTTCTTTTTTGGCACGTAACGAGTTTGAGAGGGAGCAAACCTATCAATGCAACTGAGAATTATTTCAGAGGAAATTTTCAGCAGATTTATCCAAATCCGATTAGGTACCATCAACTTCCTTCAATTTGAACTGTAAGAGGAAAGCAAACCTTAACCATGTATCATCATTTTCAAAAACTTTCATATTTCTAAAGCTAAATGTTTCTTTATATCCACTAATCAATTTTGGCATAGAGATAGAAACTTCAATAATGAAATGATCGGCTGGACTCCAGCGGTGTATGCAACTATTGTTAATTCCAATATTTCCCCAAATATGATCGATACAAGAGTTTGTTTTTGAAGTTACTCGTGTCGGTAACAGAGGTGACAACAAATGATAACCGAAAGAACTGAACATTTCAGTAAGATCATCTCTTGCTTTGTGTTTTTTCATCATATCAATATTAAAATCTCCCATAATCACATGTCTCTTTTTCGACTTGGCTTCGGTTAAGACCTTTTCTAGTTTGTGGACAATATCCTCGACCCTCATTGACGGTTGACGGTACAAAACAGTTACAGTCGTTGCCGTTTTATCACCTGCTACAACCTCTATTTTTAAAATTTCTCCTGCAGACACCTCCACTAACTGACTTGTATTAAGCTCCGTTCGTATATATAAACCTACTCCACCTCCTCTGCTCAGCCGAGGGCTCGAGAAAAACTTTTATCCTTGCAAATTGAACAACTCGGCTGAATCATTAGGGTTCAGCCAAGTTTCAGTGACAGCGATAACAGCTGGGGCTATTGCAAGTTGCTCAAGACTTACTTTAAAGGCTTCATAATTAGATTTAAGTGATCGCACGTTAACATTTAGAAATGAAACAGCCTCAAGAACTTGGGTAAATGACGATGGGGAAATAAAATGAAACAAAATAAAATTGAGATTGAATAAAAGTCCCTACTGAGGCTGTCTTGTCTTAAATACTTAACCAATGTCTTCTACATTAAACACACTTGAAGTAATGCTAACATTAGAATGAAGCTCAGTTTGAGGAGATTGTTTTGCTAAGTTATCAACATACTGCGCAATTTTTTCGGGTTTATTTCTGTGCTTTTTAACATAATCAAGGATTTGCTGATCCGACCCGGGACTTGGCGGAGACACTCGTTTTGGCGTTGTCGTGTTGTCATTTAGCCTCATCGTTGCATCTTGGTAACCTAATTGAAAAATTGATTTTCTCTTCTTTGCCAAAATTTGCGCTTTTCCAGAAGCAAGCAACGTTTCCGCATCAACCGAGTCTGCAACATTATTAGTGAACACCTTCCCGTTCTTACGCTTGATAAAGACTTGCGGTGCGCAATTGTTTGTTGTTGTTTTCAAATTAAGGCCTTTCATATAGTGGAGTAAATCCGAATCTCTCTTTGTCAGTCTCTCAAAAAGGTATACAGGTTTTCTATTGATCTGATTGAGATAATGTCGTAAAAAATGCTTCCTTGCCCAGATACGGTCTTTCACATCAAAATAGACAATTTTCACAATAATGGCTGGGGGGTTTTTGATGTCGCGAATTGGGCCTAGAGGGTGACACGCTACCATGGAATCACGAGGCACATAGATGTCAATTGCTTCACGAAAGAATGCGATTAGATCTTCTACATAATCAGAGCCATGTCGCAGAGGTTAATTGTTTATAATGATACAATCTTTTGAGGAATAGCGCTCCAGATCATTTACTTTTTTCTTCAGAAAAATTAATTCATTTTTCATGTTTGCAATGGTGCCGCTTTGAGTTTCAACATGGGATAAAAGATCTTGCAGAATTGATTTCAAAGATGGGTCAATATCATTCGACAGTTGGTTGATATTTTCTTTGATAATGTTGAGTTGTAAGCAGCAAAACAGAGTGGTGAAAGACATAGAAGTTTTTCCAAGCGACAATGCCTCAGCAATTGAAAATGTGTTGCCAAACAAGTCGTTGATATGCCACTAGGAAAACAGTAGATTTTTGCACATTCGATCCTTCGGGCATGAAAATAGTCCCCAAATTTTCGCAGAAGCGCGATTTTTTTAAACTAGGGTTTCAGGACAACAGGCCGATTAGACGTGAATTTTTCATCTTTCAGTTCTCAAAAATTTAATTAATTTTTAGTCAATAATAAGCGTTATTCATGACAATGCGCAACATGGGAATAACATCAGGTACTTGAATGAGCCTGTTTTTGAAATGCAAATGAATTATAGACATGAGAAACCACTTCAAGAAAAGTTCAAGTTAAGCATTCCTAACATCAATTAGAGGCTCGAAATGTATTTAAAAATCATACTGGTAGATAAAGTTCATGAAACTGAAAAAGCCTTCAAAAAGGTCTCTAAGTTAATCATATTTCATGACTTTCTGACAAAAGTTTTGGTTTGAAGTATCGTCGTTTGATTTCCAGCACCCCTTAACTAGACTAAGCGGCGACATTAAGTCTGTCAATCAAATTTGTTCAATCCTTGGTAAAGGCCTGGCTGGTTAAAAATGAAATTTCGAGCAAAAGCGAAAACTCAGTCACTGTAAAAATGTACAAGGATTATATCGTCATCCTTTAAACTGAGTTTAATTGGAAGATTTGCAGTTTTGTGTTGAGCGAAGATTTATGGAAGGTCCATACTGTTTACATTGGTCTGAATGCATTTCGTGACAAAGCGAAAACCAAACTGCCAGAGAACAGTGAAATTGTTTTGAAAATTGAAGCGTTGAAGCAAAGTTTTGATGATATAATTTATAAAACATTGATCTGAGAAGTTTATTTTTTGAAACATTGTTCTGAGAATATAGTTTTCGAAACGTTAACTGTTTTAAATTCTGTCGAAAAAGTTGTTCGGAAAATGTCAGTGCAATTTAATCATTTTTTATCTGGGCCCGTATAAGTTCCAGGGATTTTTCGTATACCGTTGACAACCTGTGTATTTTAACTGATTTCTATTTTCAGGTCTTGTCTCAGTACTTTTTTTGGTTTAAAAAAAAAAACAAAAAGAAAATTGGCGTTTTTGTTTAGGTTTTTGATCTGAGCAAAGAGTCTCCTGGCGAAACCCTATCGAACTGTATGTCCTGCGAACGTCTAGTTCACATTGAATGCGACTCAAAGTTCGCCTCCGAATGCAAGGCTGAAAAACATTTCCAACTTGCCTCACCGACCACGAGCAATAGAAATAGCAGAAGAAAGAATCCGTATAATTGCAGTATTTGTAGAGGAGATATTGAGGAGAGAATGGACTCTTTTCACGTGAGGAACAAACATGATAAATGAACGTTGTTGTCTTTAGTTGTTAAGGCGGTTGCTCAACATTATCCATTCAAATGACTGTAATTTTTTGATAGGATTATTTATTAATCTTAGAAGTATTCGGGGCCTTTTTTGTCCGCATTACTTCTTCGTGGGTTGAAATAAGGTTATCAATTTAAATGGCTGTTTCACTTTTTTGCTGTTGGCACTGATTATAAATTTCTTTGAATTAATTTTTTGGCAGGCAATAATTAAGAGGGTCGAGTTTAAGTATTTTGTGAGACATAATTTAGATTTTTTGTTTGATAGATCTTTCTCTTGAATGTAACAAAATCAATGTAGAAACTGTGCGCTCCTATTTCTACAAGCAACCGTCTCTAGATTTTTGTAAGGTTGATAGTTTCTTTGAAACGTAATACTGATGTTATGATTTTTATTTGTTTCGTTGTATACCTGAATTCATGTGTTTAAAACCGCAGTTATTTGATAAATTTTTTATTTCGGCAAAAACGATATTGAAGTTTCGTCGTTAACACACTTCTATCTGAGTTTTTCAGTCCATACAGACACTAAATAAAAAGCGTGAAATGAGCACACAAATTTTGTGCTGGTATACAACTTCGAAAAATCAATGGTTCAGAAACTTCATTTGGCACATGTTTAAAATTTCGCAATGTTAAAATTTCAAATAACTTCAATGGTTGAATTGTTTACACAAGCCGACTGTTGGAGCGTTAAATCTGTTGGAGCGCGAATGATTCAACTCTACGTTTTTTCTATATTCACAACAGAAACTATCGAAATTTTTGTTTCGCAATTTGTTTAACTAAAAATTATTTTCTGAACCCTATGCTGTGGTGCTTTCAGGGCAGATTCAAGGGTTGCAAGACTGGCGTCTAAGTATCAATGCTCAAATCTTTTAGGTTATCGAGACCTGGAGTTGTTCATTATTTTTTACTCTTTTTCAAAAATATAGATATAAAAAAATAACCGAACATCGGAGAAAAAACTAACCAAAATTCTCAACCTTATAGGGGGGGGGGGGGGGGGGCTGTCAGGGTACACTCAAGGGTTGCAAATTTGGAGTACAAGTATGACTGCTCAAATGTTTTTGGTTTTCGAGGTTTGGCGTTTTTTAAGATATGTATTTTTTTTCAAAAATCAAAAAAAATCAAGCGAACTTGAACTTCTGAAACCTATAGTGGGCAGCTATCAGGGTGTACTCAGTGGTTGCAAATTTGGCGTTCAAATAAAGCTGCTCATATCCTTTTGGTTTTCGATATATGGCCTTTTTATGGTTTTTATAAACAAAATTTCGAAAAATTCAGAAGTGAAAGAATTAACCGAACTTAAAATTCTCAACCTTATAGTGGGCTGCTCTGAGGATACACTCAGGGGTTGCGCAGCTAACGTCCAAATAAAGCTGCTCGAATCCTTTCGGTTTTTGAGTACAGGCGTTTTTTATGATTTCTTTTTTCTCAAAAAACTGATATAAACAAACTAAACCAAAGTTGAGTGTCTCAACCCTATTGTGGTGTATATTCAGGGTACACGTAGGGGTTGCAAATCTGAAATCTAACTGCGCAAATTATTTTGGTCTCTGAAAAATGGCATTTTTTCTGATTTCATTTTTTTCTTCGAAAAACCTAGATAAGATCTAACCGAGCTTGAAATTATCAACGCCATAGTGGCGTGCTGTCAAGGTACATCCTGGGGTTGCAAAGCTACTGTCCAATTATGATTGCTCAAATCTTTCTGATTTTCGTGTATGGCGTTTTTTTATTAAATAATTTATTTTTTTAAAAATCTAAATATAAAAAAACTAAGCCAACTTGAAATTCTCAATCTTATAGTGGGCTGCTGTCAAGATGCACCCAGGAATTGCAAATATGGCGTCCAAACAAAGCTGTTCAAATCAATTTGATTTTCGTGAATGGCGTTTTTATGATTTCATTTTAAAAAGCACTTGGACAAAAAAGGTTAACGAACTTGAAGTACTGTCAGCGAACAGTCAGGGGCTGCAAAGTTGCTGTCCAATTATGACTGCTCAAATTTTTTTGGTTTTCGTGAATGGCGTTTTTTTTTCGTTCTTTTTTTTTGAAAAAAAAAAACGAGAATTCGTTCTTTTTTTTGGAAAAACTTAAATAAAAAAGCTAACAAAACTATTTCAAGCTTTTGTTAAGGTGCTGTAAGATGAGTACATTCAAGAGTTCCTGTTTTTTTTCTCTAATTGGACTGCTCAAAGTATTTTGGTTTCCAAGATAAGTCGTTTCTTAAAATTTTCTGATTTTTGTTCCAAAATTTTGAATCTAAAACACATACTCAACTTCAAATTCTATTTTAAACCCTAATGCGTGTACTAAAGCTGGGCATTGCAAATCGATTCTCTAAATATGACTGATCGGATCCTTTTGGTTTGCGAGATAAGGCGATTTTTACTATTTTTCCCTTTTTTTTCAAAATACTCGAAAAAAAAACAAATTAACCGACCTTGAAATTTTCAACATTAATGGTGGGGTTCTGTTAAAGTACAAACCGGTGGTACTGTCAGGTTATAAACCTGGCCTCTACTTTTTACTGCTCGATTTTTTCTTGTTTCAAAAATTCTAAGATTTAAAAGCAAGTGTAGAAACTGATTTTCAATCCGATGGTGGCATCCTGTCAGGGAATAATGTATAGGAGCAAATCTGCCCTCTATTTTATCAAATCAGTTTTGGTTTCCGAGATAAGGTGTTTTTTTTCTGAAAAAAAAAACACAGATATATGAGCCCAGTTTATCGTCACGGTTGCATTAAAAATCGCTGTTTTAGCACATGTTTCAGAAAGTTCTTTTTTTCTTCAACGATCTATTTGAAGCACCGTAGTTGCGATTCATGCACTAGTTTTTTTAAGGGTTGGCCAGCTAAGATAGATGTAGAGAGTTAGTTCTAATTGGTTCAACTTGGAAGGGGTGATGATTTTCTGAAGTGGGTGGAGTCAATAAACGTGAAACTTAAGGGGAAAACTACAATAGAAATATGAAATCTATATTTTGGGTTCATGTAAACCGGGATACTACCGCCAAGTAGGACTATCCTGCCTTGCTTTACTGCTCCTGACTGGTTTACAGAATGGTCAAGTTTTACATCAATGATGGTTATTTAACTTTTTGGTTGATTAGAACTTAAGACCATTTATCCACGGGGGATAGGACCAACACAAGAGCTGTACAGCTCATCACGGCGAACCGCTGTTGTGCCCCTGTTTAAGAACTACATGCAATTCTTTTGGTTATTTTTTAATACAAAACTCCAAATGTTGGACCGGTGTCTTAAATGTATTACGCTTGAAAATCCGACAGGTTTATGCATATCTGAGCCCACGTCCGAATGTTTTGAAAAGAGCCAGGTTCTTAGATGAATTGGATTTCTCCTCTGAAATTTTCACCCTTATTGTAATTGATCAATTTTTCAACTGCTCATGATGAATTGACTGTTGCGTTTTTATAAGCATATGCTCTCTAAAACAGATTTTTTTTTTCGAAAAAGTCTATTGGTTCGGGGCAGTTTCGGTTTTGTTTTAAGCCGTTTAAGATTACATGAAAGAGTGAGCTCTTGGAATAAAAGATCGCATGAATACAGCTACTTGTCATAGCAACTGAAAGCTTGACAGTCGAAAATGTATAAAGTATGGGTAAAAAAATTATCATGCTTTCTGAGTTTCGCTTACTGTTGCATGCATATTCATCTCTATATTAGTGATTTGAAGAAAAATTTTAAGAAAAAATATAAATTTTACATTGAGCCTATAGATTTTGGTGCTTCTGCTTAGCCTGTCATTTGATTCAAAACGATTGTCCGTTTTTAAATTATGCTGTAAGCTGCTAAAACTTTTGACCAGTAAAGGTAGAGATCATTTTGGGTTCTAGGTTGATGACCACAATCGCAGGCTCAAAGACATCCCTGAATCCCTTGACGCAAATCGGCTTTTTGCATTCTGTACATTTATCATTCTGTAAACAATGATAAATGTACACCTTATCTGCTGGAAGTGACGTAAGTAGCACTATTCTAATACGAACTCTTCAATTGCACACCACCGCATGTTTTCTCAGAAGAACTATCTGTTCCCAGAATGGTCAAGAGTGACGTTTTAGCTTCATGCTTTATCAATTGAACTTAAACGCGAATTGACTTTCCTCTTGGCCTAAATTCAAATCCCCAAATTTATCCCATGTCCTGGGTTCGCTTGCATTTTCAGAGATTTTTTTTTTGGCCTCAGTTGATTTGCCATATTTTTAGTAATTTTTTTTATTGTAAATGAGTTGTTCATTTTAAAGGATGCAATATAGTTGTTTTTGTAGTATTTCAGAAAATCCATACCTCGGTGAAGTTTGTACCATGCAAAATGATTTTAAATTTTACGAGTTAAGGCAAACAGTTTTTTTTCTGAAAAAAGTTTGAACTCTCTTGGAATTAGAATAAATCACATTGAACTGTCAATTTAGAAAATCAATAATTACCCTCCCGCTAAACAAAAAATGGGATCGATACTAGACTTTTTACCCGTAATTAGTTTTCTTCACAGGAATCATCCCCTGACTCATTCATATACTGGCCTTTCTGTTGCAACAGAAAAATTTTCAACTTTTTAGCATATAAAATATCCGGCCTACCATTTCATAATACTTCTTTTTTTCAGTTGTTTTTTGTATTTTTGTGTCTTAATAGGTATCAGCTAACTTTAAATTGACTTAGTTTGTCTTACTGCGTCGTTTAATTACCACAAAAAATTGCGCGTGTGTTTGTTCTGAGGGGAACGAGGGCTTAAAATGTTTCCATTAGTTTAGAATTTGTTTTAGGCGTAAAGGATTTCTGCCCAGGTTTTTTCGACTCTGTAACCGCTTGGTAATTACGCTTGCAATTAGCAAGCGTTATTAAACTGGAATATAGTCATTTTTTCGGGTTCAAAATTTGTTGGACAGAACCTCTGACTTCTCTAGTATCTTGGTTCATAATGATTTCAAACTTCTATGCGTTCCAAGCCAATTTTCCTGGAGCTAACAAAATGCTGTGGATGACATCAATCCCGCGCTCGAATCTGACCAGAGCCTGTTTTTTTCCGAACGGGAAATATTCTGTTTCAAATAAAATTGTCGGCCAATTGTTTGTCTGCGTATCTGTTGTCCGCTTAGTTGTCAAATCTTGGAATAGTTTTTTTTTGCTGCGCGCATTTTGCCCTTTAGTTGATTTTACTGTTTGAATTACTTCTATAAAATGTAGTTTTAAATAAGTGTTTTGACTCTTTAATTGCTTTGAGTGTGCTAAAAGACGGGTCTACTAATAAAAACTATAACTAGAAGTATTTTTCGGATGTTTTATGAATCCGTCCTGAAAAGTCACTTTCAAATTGTTAGTTTGCTGAAATTTATTCCCAAAAACATTTTCACAGTGTTTAGCCAGAATTATTTACAAATGAAGTGTAAGCAAGCAATGATTAAACACCTTTTTATAAAAGCATTATTTGTTAGATATAAATTTTTTTCATTCAAAAGAAAGCAGAAATAACACGCTCTGCGAAAATTGAGCTGCGTTTTGTTAGATTATAAAAAGAATTATCAGCAAAAATGCACGCTGTGAGAAACGAGAAGCCAGAGGTGTGTTTTAACAGAATACTTTTGAAAATAAACACTATTTATTTATTTTGAGCATCAATTGAATGATTTAAATGTAATCTGTTTGAGCAAGATTTGATCGGTTTAGCACTAGTTAAGTTTCAAGTGGAATCAAAATAAACTCAACCTTAGAGAAATTCGATGCTTCAGCATCATTTTATAGTCAACTCTTCCAATTTGAGAAGCTATGCAATCATTTATAATAACCACCGACGCAATATCACGCTAGATTTAAATGGAAGCCGTTAAATAAATAGCCGTTAGCTGTAAAAATAGTTACTGAGAGTTGAAGCATCGAACTTCAGGAATATGTATGAGGCAAAGACAGAATTGAAAAAACAAGCATCATATTTTATTATTTTATAAAGGATCAATTTTTCATCAAGTATGTTGAGAAATGCACTTTAAAAGCAGTTTGAGTTAAGAACACGATTTTGAGATAAATCTAATTGTGGAGAGATAGGGACATCACTTTTGATACGTTAAAACAATTATTTTTAAATTTCAACATTTCAGTGATTATTCATTATGAAGTGAGATGTTATTTGATATCAAAAATAGTAGCGCCATAGTCGTAAAATGATTTATTTGAGGTGCTAAGCGAAAAAAAAACTTTTCAAAAATTCGTTTCGTGTTCAATTCAATTTGCAAAGATTTGTTTATCGCCAATTTTCTCTATTTGGTTGATGACTAAGAGAGGTTGACATCGAGTCTGAAGGTTATTTTACATCTGAAATTAGCGTGTATAAGAATGGTACTAGTGATTTAAAATCATCCTGTGTCGGCTCGTCGGGAGAATTTTGTCTAAGACCAGGATTTCTTAGTGCATACTCTATAACTTGCTGGCGTGGAAGTGGTGTGATTATCTGTACCCTACCGTTACTCTTCTGAACTTGAAATTTAAGTCTTCGGATCCTCGGGCCTCTTAATCTGTCTCGCAATTCCAAATTATCTCGGTCCCCTGCTACATGAATCCAATTTTTTCGTTCAAATTCGTGTAGAAATTTCTGCAAAATGTCGGTGTAACTTGATGATGAATTTGAAGAGTTATTATCTGGTCGTTCAAGTTCAAGTAATTCATCACGATCGTTCAACAAATCGAGGTTTATAATAAAAACTCTGCAATAAACTCTAGCTCTGGACACAGCAGTGTACAAATCACGCAGGAACTTATTAAAATCCGAAGGATCAATATAACCTCGGTTCGATGGAATAGGCGAATAAGCATGTAACTCATTGAACGCAGTTGAGAACTCAACAATAGAGAACTCAGTTGATGCAATGTTCGATCTATCTCCAAAGCAGTGATGTAATTTATCTGCGATCAATGAATCATATATAGCGGTTGACATCAAATGTGTGCTTATACCTTTGATTTTGGCCAACTTTTCCAAATCTTCCAGCCAAATTGAAAACGCTTGTGGTTTTCTCGTTGCCTCGCATATTTGATGTTCAAGTTTTTCTTTTTTGTGGAAAGTCATTAAATCTATGGTTACACGTGGACCATGAATGAAATGGCCTCTCTCCTGAGGGTCATATTTGACTTTTGAAGATTCTTTCAAAATTCCAAGAATTGATTGAAGTGTGTCTGAGACATCTGCCGTGTTGCGAAAATTCCTTCGTAAAGTTCTGGCATTGTCGAACAGCTTATAAAAATGACATAAACTTTGATATGACGAATCTGACTGTGTAACATTAAACACAACATGCTTTCTGGGCATGCACAATTCCGAATTAAACTTTTCTTTGAGATCAATTTTGTTGGTTTCCTGTAAATCGTCGAAAAAAATTTCGATGTTACTTGAAGAATCGCTGAGAAATTTTTTGATTGCATACTGTGAGACAGAGAAGAATTTTGATTGAAAACTATTCAATTTTTAATCTTCAAAACATGCTAATCTTGGATTGAAGAAAAATGCACATCAACGCACACAAAAAAGTGAGGCTCGAAACAACAAAAATTTAAAAATAAAAATCCGAAACGACTAAATTTGAAAACGAAAAAACAGGAAAACCAATCAAAGGTACATATTTCTTTTTGTCAAAAAAGTATTAGGAAAACTTTTTCAATAGGCACGACTGGTTAATTTATCAGCTTTTAACAGAAAAAATCCACTGTTAGAAACAAATTAATTGAAAAAATGGAAAAAAATCTCAAAAAGAAAGAAAAGGTGTAGCTAGATCATCAATACCCTTGATTCAATTCGGTTACAGGTTTGTTGACGCTGGTTGATCTATTTTTCCGCGGATGCACTATCATATCTCGATCAATTTGGTTACAGTAGCGTTACATTGCAAAAAAGAGAACGGTCGGTCATATCTTCCGCGCTTTGAACGCTCGAGATTCTTTTTTGCGTTTCATTCATTGAAATTCTCAAATTGAAACAGAAAACCGATAAAATTTATGTTGCAAATCAAAGTTTCTAAAATTAAAGACTTACAATGTTCGTAGTCGGATAGTTTAAAAGAAATACCTTCCTTTACCAAGCTCTGAAGTTATGCGCTCGGCCTAATTTCTTAGTATATCCATGAAAAGTTTGAAAATCAGAGGGAAGTTGAAAATAGCAAAGCTTTTTGAAAAAAGGTTGGAACTTTTTTAAACAAAAATCTGTGTTGAACAGATATTCAGAACAAAAAATTTAACAAGCAAAAAACGGTAGACCCAGGGACATCTTTCCTTTAATTTTTATATATGTGTACGATCTTTTTCCCCAAAACACCGTAGCCTAAAATAGTATATGATCCACTTTTTTGGAGCAGAAATAATTTTTTATTGATACCATGAAACAAGAGTCGGAGCTGCGCCAACACCTAGAAGTGGTAAAGGAGGTAGGTTTGTAAATAGGAGTCAGCGGTAAGCCAATTGAAATAACAAATGGAAAATCTTAAAAAACAAGCAGAGGAATCGAAATGAAAATTTGCAAAAAAAAATTGAAAGTTTGGACTGGGTGCAAAAAAATGAAAGAGTTATTACAGACACAGGAAAGATATAGCCGTGGAGATTTCCTAGTGATCTGCAATCCCCCATTTGACGCATCTAAGAGTCAAAATGTATTACGCGACATATTGGAATTGTTCAAGGGGTATTTGGGGATCGATTTTTCAGCTGATAGAAAATAAAGCCTGCCACATTTTGCCGGGGACTGGCAATTATATTTTTTATTCAGCCGTCAGAGTCAAGTTTTTGAACGACGAAAAAGTTACTGTTCTCTCAGGTCGTTAAAAACTGGAAAAAAAACAAGGTGAATGGTAAATTTATTCATATAAATGATGAGTTACGGAAGTACGAAGCAGAAAAAAAGCGGAGGCCAACAAAAAGGGTTCCTAACATCAACAAAGAATTGTTCAGTATCTGTTTTCGTCTCAAACAGCAACGATACTCCCTGATTTGTTGCAGTGAACAATATTACTGAGTTATCGAATTTATGAAATCCAATAAAAAAGATGTAAACGCAAAACGAAAGCACGAGAGGTTTAACACATCTTCAGACTGAGGAAAAAGGAAAAAAAAACAGATGAAAGATTGAAATACATAAGCACTGAACACCAACTCATGTGCAATAAATTTGGATTGTATCTTCTCTGCATAAACTACTTCTGTTTCTTGAACGACTATGCTCAATTAAGCAGTACGAAAACATTCGAAAACCCGTGTAAAACAAAACTTCCAAACAAAGTGTTTAGTTTTGTTTCACGAAATTGTTTTTCGATAAGAGCAACCAAAATAGTGTCCGCAGTTTTTAAATTTTTTGTCATCAGAGCTTTTTCAAATTATATGTTTTTTGTTAATTATTTTAGCTGTTCAGCGCTAAAGATGATGTTTTCCTTCAGCATTGAAAATAAAATACTTATGTGACAACTTTGCAATATGCGCGGGTTCATCATTTATTTAAGTAGGTAGAAATCACCACACACTGAATAAACTTGCAATATCTGCAAGTTGGCTCAACTAAACGGTTATCTAATAAAATTGATTTTGTTGTATGAAAAGCAAAAGCGTTTGCGTACCTCGCGATATTCGTGGGCGGCTCAAACTATCCTTTTGTGTTGTCTAATCAAAAAGTTTGCAGCAGTCTTATAGAAAGAGATTTGTGATATTCACGGGGTGCCTCAAAGAAATCAAATTTTCAAAAAAAAGCTGGAATTTTCGGGATACTCGCGAAATCTTCAAATTCCATAGACTCAGTGTTTGTGTACCTGGCAATTTTCGTGGGGTGCCTCAAATTAACCTTTTGTGTTGTTTTATCAAAACGTATGCAGCAGCATTATAGAAAAAAACTTGCGTTATTCACAGGAGCCTCAAAAGTCTCACAAAATTAAAGCGGATAGTTTTGTGTTAGTTTCTCCAATTTAATTAGATTTTCATAGATTCAATTTTCGAAATTTGTGTAAGAAAATTGTTTAAAAAGATTAGTACTTTTTGCAATATTATTAAAATCGAAATTAAATTTCAAGATGCTTGTACACTAATGAAATTTGTTAGAGGGCCGTGCGATATCAGCGGGGTAGCTCTGATTTTATCAACATTCACTTTACTGAAAAACAAAGTTGATAGTCAGAAACATCAATTGAAAAATTTAAATGACATTTTTTGATCCATGTCTATAAAAAGCAATTATACCTTCTGCGATGTCCGCAGAGAAAAATTTAGAATTTTTTTTAATTTTGAAAAACTATAAGAAAAAAATTTAGTCCAAGAAATGAGGAAAGATAACAGGAGGCCATAGTCCCTGTTTTCCTTCATTTCTTGTTTTGATTGAAAAAATTATCTTCGAAGCGGAATGAGAACAAAAAAGAAACTGATATGAATAAAAAAAATTAAAAAAATTTAATTCCAAACAAATTGAGGGTTAAGATGCCTGAAACGATATGAATTGTATTCTTTCAATAATATATATTAGACTTAAACAAAATATGGTACTTTCGCGTATTCTTGTTATTTTGTCATAGGAAGATTACTAATAGGAAGATGATACTCACAAGAAATTGATAGAAATCATAATCGAAAAGGATTATTTTTAATCAAAACAAACCCTGTCATTGTAAGTCAAAAACTTATAATTAAATTAGTGACAAAAAACTCACTGACAAACAAAAAATCAGTGATTACGAACGTTGAGAAACCATCTTGGTTTGGCAGAGTCTCCGCACGGTAAAATCTCACCTAAATTACAACTGAAAAAAACTCGCGATTATCAATAAGACGAGTAGTAAAAGATTTTCGTAATCAAACTTTCAAATAATTGTTATATTAGTTCATTATGAATCAAATGATCCTAAATCAACTCAGGGTATTCCAAATTAACCTCTGAACTTAGTATTTAGAATTGGGTTATCCTTTAGACTAGACAAAAAGGAATAAACTAGTCTAGCACTCGTTGTCTTCCTCAAATAAATCATTTCAACAAACCAATGTTCACCAAACCTATCGGTCAAACATTGTATACGATTCAAAGTTTAAACCAAAAAATGATAAAAAAAATTTAAAATCTATTATAAATGTCCGATGGCAATGTATTTTGGGATTTTTTTGATATGCTATTCAATAGGTCAATAAAATCCTATTCAATAATTCAAAATTAGTTAACAAATACAAAAACCAACTTGTTCGAAAAATTATCTGTCAAAAACCCTCAAGAAGAAGAAAGGAACCTTTGAAGAAGAAAACAAAGAAATCAAACGATCAAGTTTATTAGGTTACACTAAAAAAATTGATTCAGAAACTGATTTTTGTGAAGAACTAAAAATTTCATTTTCTAAGGCAAAGTTAGACTTTAAAATAAACCTCAAAGAGTTACGAAATGTAGTAATTACCTGCCTGAGTTAATGGCAGGAATTACTCATTTTCTAATTTGCAAATTCTAATTTTAAATTCTAATTTGGTAGTTTTTAGGGTTTTAGATTGCCTAAGATTTTATAAAGCTGAAACTTAAGTTTTGATCCGCTATTTGGATTTGACTAGACACAAACTGTTTTCAGGTAGAGACCAGATAACGAAATTTATTTTTGAGATAAAAAGATAGGATGAATGCAAATTCCATATCAGCCATTTCATAAACAAGATATTTTTTCATCGTGCAGGTTAACTTATCAAAAAATCATAGGAGCAGTTTTGTTGAAAAAAAATTTGCCCGGAGGCAAACGTGAAATACCATTTAACTCGTAGGGGCTTATAGAAAAACTTAATCAAAATACCAACTACTGCTAGATGTTTTTTTTCTGTGTAGTATATCTTTATACTTGCGGGCTAACAAAAATATCTATTTTACTTGCGGGCAAAAACTAAATATACTTTCACACAGATTAATTAAATATCTGTTATTTGGTTTTCTTACTCAAAACCTGACATTTGTCTGGACAAAATGAAAAAAATCTAGTTTTCGCAGATATAATAAACAGAAAGGTAACTATAACATATCATATCAACATCAACTAAATTTTTAAAATCCGCCAGAGATCTTTTTTTAAACAAAAAGTAGTAATGAAGAAAAATAGTTCAGCGCACATGATTCTGAGAAAAAACCATGCGACAAAATTTTTCCCTCATTAGACAAACTAGATCGGAACTAAGTTCATTTTATAAAAATAATAAAACTAATCAAAGTGTAAAACGGGTATAAAAACGATACAATTCGTTTTCTTGCCAATATTGGCGATTGTTTTTTGGCAAGCATCATTATTAAACTAATTGTAGATGATGTATATCAGAACGCCTGCCACTAGCATCAGTGATAAGAAAAGCAGACCAAAATCATTTTGAGTTATTGTTTGATTTAGACAACAATCCAACCCAAATTGAAGAATGCCACTAATTATACTATGTTTTACATAATAAATAAAACAAAGTTTCTTTTAATAACTGAAAGACGAAGCTGGTATCTATTTTTTTGGTAAGTGACAAAATAGCAAAATGAAAACAAAACACGAACAAATATTGAAGGAAAAATTTGATGAGCCGCTGTCATCTAAATCTATACATGACTATGTAAGTTTTCTCTAGTTTGTAGCAAACTCAACGAGGAAGGAAAACCAACTGACTTGAATTCAGACAAAATTAAAAGGAGCAAACATTTAACAATTTTATTTCCGGGCAGAAATTTATAAATGGAAACCACATGTCGTAGAATGATGTCTTGACTCTCAAAAAGTTTTAAAAAAGGTCACGATCCCAGCGAAGCACCATTGCAAAATTGGAAAAACACTTCACTTTTCACATTCCACAGAATGCAAATTAATCACAAAGGTCCCATGAATCTATCCTCAAACGTAAAGAAACATTACTAAGTAAATGTATGCTCCTTTTCGTTGAGTTTTACAAGAATAGCCAGTTTTTTCAACAACAGCAACCAAATACACAACCCTTTTTGTTTACAAACCTAAATTATGAAAATCAATAAATCAAAAAAATTCCAATACTAACGTTCAATTGACCCACAAAAACTATTTATTCGAAAAAATCCAGATGGATGACAACGCAATCAAGTAAGATACTGATTATATATTCAAATAACAATCATATAGAGCATTTTATGAAAGTCTTATGCAAACAAGAAAAAAGAAAAAGCGCGAACCTAGAAAAAAATATATAACTTTCTAAAAGCCTACAGCACCTTTGTCCAAAAACAATCTGTCCATGTTCATCTTTTGAGATAACAAAACTGTAGAGAAAAAAAAAAGAACCAGGAATGACAACGAACGAAGTTAGAAGATAATTAGTCGAACCAACAACTTGCTAACAAAAATCAACCAGATCAGCAAACTGTACACAATGGGAGGCATCAAAAACGTGCTCGACGATCCAATTTCTATCAATCGGGATATAACTAAAACAAAAGTACTAAACCTAAAAAAAACGTTCAATTTGACTTGTTTTATACCGGGTCCTCAATAAATAGAACTGAATATCCAAACTCGCTAATATTTAAAACTTACTATTGTTAAGCAACACAAAAGAAAATTAGCCCAGAAAACTTTTACACATCAGATAACGCTACAGATTTTTCCGACAACCTTTTATAGCTTATGTGAACGCTGTCCGATTCGCTACAAATGCGGAATGTACAAACATTCCTTCATCGATCACAAAGTGAGTATGGTTATCTATGAAAGTAATATACCACACAAATAATGCAAAAAAGCTGCAAAATTGTTTCAAAGCTGTTTAGTAAGTTAGCTACACTCACAAAAAAATGTAGAAATGAATGAAAGATCTACACCGCAGAGTTGAAAGAAGGTCAATAGAGCGGCAGTCTGGCTTCGTATAAGGATTGGGGACAAAATGAACACTACTCCAACAAAACACATTTGGAGTTATTTTCTTTCAAAATGATCCCGGAACTAAACAAATAGAAAATTCTATGCTAACCCAATCCCATGCACAGTACTCGAAGATAGATACAAAGCTAAATCATAAAATCCCTATGCTCACACATCGAGCAAGCCTAAAAACTGTGTCGTGCTCATAAACTTTTCACAAAATGTAAAAACGATTAGTCAAGTTCAATATCATATCGAGTGAGTGCGGTCGGATTGAGGTCTATTAAAATGTCGAGTGAGTGCGATTCAGTAGGATTTTATCAGATAAAACGTAAGCCTCAATCTCACTGGGACTAGATTGGCGGCCTATATGCAAAATCAAAGGCCTTCATACAGGATTGGAGAACTACGCAGGTCGAGATCCAGCTCAAAAACCGCTCAAGGTTTGAGCCTTTTGAGCGCTTTTCTAGCAAAATTTGAGCGATTTGAGCGGTTTGAGCGGTGTTTTGTTTTTGGAAAAACTGCTCAAACCTCTCAAATCTTGCTCTAAAATACCAGTCAAAAGCCGCTCATATCCTACGGCGGTTTTTGAACGGTTTTCCACGCAAGATTGGGCGGTTTTTGAGCGTTTTAATAAAAAAACGATCAAATCAACAAAAGGTCCGGAAAATGCAAGGTGACACTTAGAAGCTATTAGCTACGTTGCCTCTTTGCGCGAACCAAACTAATTATGTTGCGACTTTGTGCAAGCCAAATTAGTTATATTTTGACTTTGTACGACCCAAAATAGCTTTGTTGCAACTTTGCGCGACCCAAATCAGCTATTTGCGACATCGCGCGACCCAAATATGCGCGACTTTGTGCGACTTTGCTCGGCCCAGGAATGTTAAGAAAAATTGCTCGACAGTTTCGTTAGAGAGTTTTCCATGCCCGCTGTCTTCACAAGTTGAGGTTGTTCGACTAATTTGATGCAAGATTTGAACGGGTTTTTAGACGTTTGCGCTCAAAATCTTGCTTCACTTTTTGCGGCAGGCTTTTTTCTCCGGGTTTATTTTTGCGTTTCAAGCGATCAATTTGAGCAGTTTGCATTGATCATAGGGGTTGATTGGTTTTAACACGCGCTTTGCATATTTCCTGCAACGTTGCAAAAGCCCGGTAGAGAATTTTGCCTCAGGAAACCCGGTTTTAATTTGACACCATTATGAAATCGACAAAAACATTTTTCTCTAAAAAGAACCGTAGAAAAACCGGCCATTTTACAAATTTGTAATTAGGATAAGAGAAGAAGTTTTGTACAATTGTTTACTGTTAGCGAAACGGAAATTAGAACATAGAGGAGCAGCTAGTTGGAACAGATATTCTGTACTTCATATGAATCATGCTTTCATTTCATAGCGTACGGCTAAGGACCAGGTACATATCGAGAAGTACATGGAGCTTCAACAATCCTCTATCCTTGAGTTGGAGACTCTCTTTTCACTAACGAGTTACGGTTCTAGGCTTGGAGCCTTCACACCTGTAAGAAAAAACTTATATCATAGATGACCATAAAAAGATGCTTTAGATAGTGTTCTGAAGTTGACGGGTTGTTCTTTTGTTGCTTTGCTAGCTGTTCAACTTGGAAAGAAAAGAGTGGTGAGGATCAAATAGCTATTATTCGATTCTAGCTTCTTTTGAGATTTCTTTTCGAGACAGTTTTTGTCTAACAAAAAATGAATTTGAAGTCGAACATTTTTTCGCACAATGCGTTTCAATTCCTGAATTTATGGAAAGTTCAGTCATGTCTTTTCTGATGGACAAGGAACCTCTAGTGATCCCTGTTTGCATAACTGTTGTTCAGTCTCCCCACATCCTTAAAAGAGATCAAAATGGTAAATGCAGTCTCTTGATCCATATGCTTCCGTGCTACCTTGTCTAGTATCTCATGAAAGTGCTAGCTACTATCTACCACCCACTGATCCTCGTCCTCACGCTCGTTTCTATGGCAAAATGTGTCTTTAACGCAAATGTACAGAGTCTGATTTTTCAATTTTCATCGTTTCAACAATTTACTTAAACTGTCGCACATCCTCAGCGCAGGTCTTGTGGAAGCACCCGGCAACCTATCATATGGTAAAACTGTTTTTTTTCTAACTACCGGATGCTGAACCAAAAGCTTTTTGATTCAGCAAACCGGTGTGTGCTGCTATAATTGTGACTATAGTAACATATTTTGGTGATTCAGCATTTGATATGACTTCGCAATCAACCCATCAGAGCGCTATTACATTTTTTTTCTTCAACAGCTCTATTAGTCCTACATTGAGCAAAATTGGGCCGTTTGCCAGTGTCGGCACCGTATGTTAAGCTCACCAAGCTGATCATCAAACATCAAATGCCGCTAACCAAGAATTTTCTAACCCTAGGTGTTTGTTCGTCGTATGACATAGGGTAGAGAGACCATTTTCTGACGGAGTTATGAAAAGTAGCAAAAAATTGTCTCGCAAATTTAAAACTAAGTCAGTTTGACGTTAATTTTTTGAACTGGTGCGAAGAGTTGGGACAAATTAGCTCAACCATTGATTCTTTATTTCTGACTGATTATAAGAAGTCAATGTACCTCAAGACGCTTCTCACCCAAAATGCCAGTGCTGCTATCAACGCATACATTCGAAATGGTGTATCAAACAACAATGCAAGCACTACCATGCACTAGAAATATGGTGGGACTTATACTATCCTTCAGGCGCATTTGACTACGTTAGATATTTTTCCTCAATTTTAGCTGCATAGTTCAGAGAAGGTCATCGGTTTGCAGAGAGTCATCTAGTTGCAGTCTATGACTCTTCTAAGCCAAGCTGTCAGAAAGTTCCCAAGCAACTTGCAAGATATAGTGCAGTAGACTGGAATACAGTAGATATAGTGCAGCAAGATATAGTACAGCCGATTCATTATTATTAAAATTATAAAGTTATAACCCCATAAATTTATTATCCTGAAACGTGTAGTCGAAAGAAAATGTGGTACCATTCGAATCTTTTTCCGTTTTTTTGCGCTAAAATGATTCAGACTTTCTTAAGAATAACTGCCTTTCGAAGCTTGCTTTGAGTTGATTTTCATAAATTGTGAGTGAAAATGTACCAAAAAAGAAAAAAATTAGCTTGTAGGAGAAACAGTTTTTTTTGCTCATATTTTCACTGCGAGATTGGAGACGCCATAGAAAAAACAAAGCCAGCGTAACCGAGACCATATTTTTAACTTTCGAAAACAAACAATCAATGAAAAAAAAATGGGCAAAAGTCCATATCTTAGGCTATCAATCTTTTACGTTATCTAAGGATGTGTATGATTTTTTCTCTGCCTGTTGCGGATATATCATCAGAAATATTTGATGTCTACAGGTCTCGTCAAACTCACAGCCTGCTTTGATTTCCTTTAGATAATCGCAGAAGGTAATGCCAGTTAATTTTTGAAATTCGAGCATAGCTCTTTCGACTGGTGTATTGTAGTCATCCGAAAACGCATACTTCTCAGTGTTATGGACAAAAAAAGCTTTATTTTTTTCGTCTTGTAGGACAAATCTGAACAACTTCGCTAAAAGGACTAACGTTTTTCCTGTTCCAGCAGCTCCCTTCAATGGGAAAAATATCTGGTTGTTGTCATTATCTTGAAAAGCTTCATATTGATCGCGTTGCAAGTAATTTAAATGCAATATATCATAAAATAAGTTGATTTTGAACTCAGGATCATCTGGTTTCGGAAATGCAAAAATGAAATCAGGGTGGTATTTTGTCTCTATTATGTCTTGATTTCTCATGTCTTCTTTTTGTTTTGCGTTGGTTCTCTCAAATGTGATTCGACCATCTTTCAGTTGCTTGTCAATTTTGGCTATCCAATTGCCCAGTTCAAATTTAGCTTCTCCTGGAAGCTTTTGCTCTAGTGATCCCATGTCCCAAATGGCTATCAAAATTTCGTGGAGCATCGTAATGTCTGTTGTGGTGAGCTTTGCTTTCTTGAACCTTGTTTTTAATGTAGTTGATAAATATTGTAGACAATTGAACAATAAATATCGCGCTAAAGTTAAATGCCTTCTGAATGGCTGCAACATCCAGTGTGACTCAGGTAGTTCGGGACACGCAGTTTTTGTTTGCCACCATTTCGTGAAATCCAAGTTATCCTCACATATTAGCATAACATGATCGGATTTTAACTGCGCTTGCTTTGCTTTTTGGACTTTATCCTGTTTTTCGGCTTCTTCTGGCATGCTTATCAAAGCAATATGACTCGAACCTTGTTCAATAAAGTATTCCTTTAAATTGTCTGTTTTCATTTGATAAGCAAGTGTTCCAGCTTTTAGAATGAGAGCATCAGTTCTGTGATATGGGAATGCAACGAAGCGAAAAACGTTTGGAGTGATTTTTTGATTAATTGTAGAAGCTACATTTTCAATTAGTTGTTTTGCGGCTTGAGATTGTTCTACGGCTTTCTTCAAATTTTCGTCTAAGTTGTTTTCATTCGTCGGAGTTTTAACTTCAATCACTGCTATGAAGGTCTCACCGAGGATAATGAAGTCGTGTTCTTTCTCGTTCTCTCTTTTGTCGTTCATACTGTAAGTATTATGGAGGTGCATTTTTTAAAACTCGTGTGATAACTATAGCTGCTTTGATTTTTGTTCCATATATAATTTTTGTATTTGCTAAATAAGAGCAAAGAAAAGAATGGCTTTTTGCACTAACTTGTAGATAGTGTACTTAAATTGTATTAATCGTCAACTTTTTTGAAGCCTTTACAGGTTGATAAAATTTCAATTTTTAGGAATTTTTTCAGGCTCCTCTACTAAATAACCATTTTCTACTTTCGAAAAAATGAATCACGTTTTTGGGAAAAAAAATTGGACAATTTTCAATTTGAACATAGTCAGTCATTTTCATTTGGAACCTCCTAAAACACAAAAAGACAAATTTCTGGGTCCGCTTCGCAAAGACTGAACATAAGATTTAGATTCAGTGCAGTTTCAAGATATATTAGAATGAAAATAGGTGAAAAAATATTTGAAAAATAGGCGTTGTAATTTTTTGATTGGTTAACGCCTGTAATATAATATCGATTTTAAAAAGAAAAAGAGTTTTTTCTTCAACTTTTTCTTCAAAGTTTTTAATAGCCCCAAATCAGGTATCTATTGGTCAAATATTCTTTCATTCAGTGATTTGACCAAGTGAAATTTAGTCAAATCATTTATCTGTCAGAAAACTTTCTGTTTAACTTCTTTTTTAATTGATAGTTTTAAAATAGTCAACAACATTGATTCAGTTAAATTTTTATAGCAGTCGTGAATTTTTTTTTCCAAAGATGCGATTATTAAGTTCTACGCTGGATTTCACCAGAAGATTCTCCAGATAACACAAAAGAAACAAAACTTGAGCTCATTTTTTATTCTAGGCTAAGGAATCAAAAATAATAACAAAGTCTTAAGTCTGTGGCGGAGATGACGTGAATTTCTACCTTGCTCGTGACTTGCATCATGATAACCACCCTAAACTTAAAATTGCAAAACCTCTGACAATTTTTTAGACTTATAACAACACTTTTGGTGAATTTGAAGATCGAACAATTGTAAGTATACTTTTACTACGCTGTGACATCTTCTTTGTTTTTTGTCCGAAAAGGCAAGTGCTTGAGCGTGCGTAAGCAGAAATGTCAATTTATGTTACATTGTTCAAAAAAATTTTGTTCAGTTTTTGAGTCAAAGTTATAATTTTTGAATGAACGATGAAGACTGTCCACAGATATCTTTAACAAAACAGCTCAGTCAATTGCAAAGTTTTAGCAGAAACTCTGCTCAATTGCTTGAAATTTCTCAATTGCTCTGACAAATTAACTTCATTGAGATTTTTCAAATAGAAGTCATGCTTTTAAAGCATTTTCCTTTGTGAACGAACAGTTCCAACCAAAAATTAAATCAGCTTGAAAAAGTTTAAATACTACTTTTAATTTTTGGAATGATATAAATTAAATTAAAAAAAGCGTTGAAAACAAGTTCTTGATTTGTTGAATGAGTTTTATGCAGGGCTTTCAAATCAGAACTGAAAAATTATTTGAGTGATATAATCAAACAAAAGATTAGTTTCGAATTTAAAGCATAGCAGATTGAATTCTTAAAACGTCTCCTTAGTTTTTGTAAGCCATTCGATCGAAACAATTTATCTAAATGTATCGAGTCCAAATGATCAAGTTAATTTGGAAGTTTTGATCAGTGAGATTTTGAAGATCAACCAGCGATATTATTTTTATGGAACTGAAACTTCGAAAAATTAAATACTTTTTTAAAATTTTTTCTATCGCGGGCCGGTATAAACAAAGTGATAGAGATAAATTATCCATCACCTTTCTTAATAGAACAAAGATTACAAACAATATTCCTTTAATTTTGATTTTTTATTGCTTTTGGTTTAAAAAAACAACATTAAGCATCCGATTTAAAGTTTTAAAAATTTCATATAATTTTTTAAATTAAAAATAGCAAAAAAATGTTTCTTTTAAAACATTTTGGAAAACGTGAATCGAAAACGAAATGATCAGACTCAGTTTTTGCAAAAGTAATCTATAGAGTATTCCTATTTTTTGGAATCTCCTTCCCACCTTTTTGAACAAAATTTAGCAAAGTTAGGAAAGGCAGTGGTGTTGCATGAAAACTCTGTCCGGAATCCCGAACGTTTTTTTTTCACATTTTAACTGCTAAACATCAGCCAAAATTTCTAAAACAGTGGTTTTTTCACATAAACAGTAAATATCTGTTTATACTGATATCAGTAAACATCAATTAATAAAGTTAAGGACTTGAAAAAACTGAGCAGTTATGGGTGTAGGCCAATTAGACAACAATTTGCACTATTTTGCGTCAATTTTGTTGATCTTTGGTAAAAAATGATTATTGTAACATAATTTTGTATGATATTTTAATTCCAAAGTTAATTTTATTTTCCATAGATAGAGAAAAAACTTATCTTATAATTGACTTTTTTGCAGTTTTTTATCAATTAATTTTATAAGCCTAAAAATATCATTCATAACATTTAATGTTTATACAGTTCTCATCAAACACAAAATCTCCCAAGATTTTATATTTTCTTCAATTTCTTACAAATTATAAGTAACTAAAGCTCCTGATTTTGTAATATCTTTTTGCAGCGAAGGGCCAAATATGAACATCGGGGGGAGGGGATGATCTTGTACTTAGTTTTTGTGATATAGACTTGACTTCTTCTGCAAGTTGCTATGTCATAAACTTTTTTGCAGTATGCAAGCTCTTAGTCCATAATTGCTTTTTTGCTTGAACTGAGTTCAAGCAGAGGAACAATTTAACAATTTCAAGGTTTACTGTGAATGGCAGTGCTGTGTTTTTAATCTTCAGCCGATGCCGAACTTTGTTGCTATTTTTTTCGAAAAATTAGTTAGAAGAGCGGCTCTAATTTCTCTCTGTTTATTAGGAGAGCAAGTTTTCCCGTAGAAGATCAACGAATATATTGGTTTTGAGATTAAGTAGAAACTGAAGAAAGCATTTTGAAAATTCTTCATTGCTATATTTTAAAAAATGTCAGAAACATAGAGTTGCATAGACAATTACTGGATTTTATTCGTGGATATGCGTTCCCGTTAACTTTTCTATATAAAACCGGCTACCATGTAACAAGATCCAATGATTTTTAAATCAGAATATATTGGACAACCTTTTTTGTCACTCTTTCAAACTACCTCATCTCCAATAGTTTCAGCGTGACAAACCTTTTTTATTGTATTTTAGTAAAATTGCAGAGTTATTTTGGTTTTGTTGCGAATATCAGATGACCAAACTCTTTACAGGATTAATAAACAGCAATTTTTACTTTAAAACTGACTGTGTTATAATTTTGAACAAGCACATATTCTTTTCAAGTATTGTTTTATCAAGCACAGAACTTACAATCAGCTGAACTGAGAAGTTCAAAAAAATGTTGGGATGAAAACAATCTACAAAACAAAGTGTTCAATTATATTTACTGTTTCGGGAAAAGTTCACGAGACATTTTTAAGCTCTAATCAAAACATGCATCCACTCGAAGTCTCAGATGAACTTTCCAAAAAAAATCAAAAAACTCAAAGTTGATTTGTTGGGCTTGTTGGTATAACTAGTTGATTACTTTTTGATGACCATGATTCTGTACAAAATGCTTATGACGTTTTTGTTTTGAAATGAATACCAACCAATTTTATTCAAAAAATTTTTTAAAGTGAAAATGTCTGGGTAGTAGACATCAACAAACAAAAAACCAAGATTTAGTTACAGTTATTCTGTGGAAAAAAAAGCATTACGGCTTAATATAAAGATTGAAAAGACATGATAAATTTTTTTGTTCTCAATCAGTAGTTTGTGTATACCACAAGACACGTTTACAAAATCTCAAATGCAGACACGATTTGTGTAACATAGTTCTTGCTGAGTGAATTTATGTCGTTTTTCAGCCAAAAAAAAATCAAATAAGAAAACTGCACTTTTTCCTTTTTTACTTTTAAAAGAAAATTTCAGGTACATCGATATGTTCTTTGTATGCATCAGGACATCTTGCTGCTAATTACGGTTTCAGTATTTCACTTTTTATAAGCGAAGCTCTAATGAACGGGTTCTAGATTTTTCTGGAGACTGATCTACGAAAAAATATTCGAGATTATTTGATAAAGCAATCAATTATCACCAACCAACAGTGGATCTGCAACCATAAATCAATTGGTTGCTACAAAAATGCAGACAGAGAAGGTTATTTTACTCAAAGCATTGTTTCAAAAAACATATGATATAAAATAAAACGTTTAAATTTATAGAGACTATTATGATGCAGTGAAAAACAAAGCGGTACGTTTTATCTAGATTTGTGAAAGTTAAGTTTCAACGCAAATTTTTTATAACTTGAAGTGAGGTATACAATTTCTCCAAAATTGTTTTTTTTTCCCAGAAGTTTCATCTAATGACTAAACGATATCTGAAAACTGCTGCGCCCTGATTGTTTGATTCTTTCTAAAGTGAGTCTGGTTATGGTGATCAAATTTTTACAGAGTTTTCTCTGAAAACAAACCTGTTGTCGCACGCAAATTCGAATGCAATATCCCAATTGGTCTGGTTATGGTGATCAAGTTTTTACAGAGTTTTCTCTGAAAACAAACCTGTTGTCGAACGCAAATTCGAATGCAATATCCCAATTTTCATTTCCAATATACCAAAAAAACATTCGGAGAATCAGCGCCGAAAAGCACTAGACAAAGATTTGAGAAATTAACAAAATTTTATATCGAAGAATCATATCAATTACACGAGCGATCTTGACAAATTTCTCATTGAAATCCTTACTTACACGATTAAAAAATCATAAAAAAAACAGCTTTTAATCATGTGTTCATTTGAAATTTTTAGAGACGAGCTAAACGAGCTACTATTCACACCAATAATTTCAGAGAAAGAAATTTAAGCACAGTAACTGGAACCATGTGATACAATGCAGATATGAAAAAGGTTCTTGAGAAGAAGAAGGAAAATAATATAAAAAGCAGCGCTTGTCAACATTTCATGATAGATACGGAGATCAAAAAACGGTTTAAATGAGACTTTTTTCAATTACCCAAGGTGGCTAAAATTTCAATTAACGAAAAATTCGGATAAAAGTTCAAAAAACAGGATAATGTTCATCTTGATGCAAAACTCTGACAAAGCTCTGGGTTTTGATCTTGGAACAATTGAGACTGGTGAATAATTATACTGTTATACCTACGAAAGGAAAATGATTTGCAACCTTACTCTGCAAAAGCAGGTTAGGTTGCGATAAAGTGAAGAAAAGCAGCCAGGAACGCTAAAGCATACCAGGAAACTCAAATTTATCAAATTTGTTTCTTTTTTGCTAAAAACATTCTTATGGGTTGTCCACATTATGTTTTGGCTAAACCTTTACTGAAAACTTTATCGGTCAGGTCAATACAGCGATTTTGATTACCACACTTCTAGATACTTCACAGAAATGATATCAACGTTTAATCGTAATCCTAAAAACTTCCCGGAAACTCCTTTAAGAGCATACTTCTTGTCAATGAAAAGACTGAGCTCAACATCCGATGTACAAGGACATTATGTGCGAAATCTAGCCCAAAGAAGTATTGAAACATTTGAAAACTACCAAGAGCTTGCTTATTTGTTAGCTAAAATTTAATACCACTGACTAAAGATTACCATTTTTTTCTTCTTCTTGTCAATAAAGAAGATATCAACTAATCAAAGTTTAGGTATCTTCTTTTTAAGTACCACAGAGAATCACTTAAAGAGACAAAAACCGCACTCTGGTTAGAAAAACATTATCCAAAATCCACTTCATTAATTTTGAATATGACTGCTGAACTATTTTGTTTCAATAACTAGCATTCACAAAACGTATCAATGTTTTACTTAATCTCAATTTTTTGGCTGCGAAAAGTAAACGAGAGATGGAAACCAATTTGAAGATAATGAGGGAATCCTTGATTGAAGAAATAAATTGCAAATTGACTAATGTGGTGAAGTGTGCTGGCAAGCTGATACTGCTTGACATTGAGCGATTTGTGATAATTCTTGGAAAGAACAAAAGTTTACATAAAAAATTTTTACAAATTGAAGGATCGATGGAGATTTCTCAGCAAATCTAGGTCACAAATTTTTAGAAGCACATTGAAAAACCTTAATGATACATTACTACGGTCTTTAAGGAAAACTAAGTTTTCAGTAAACTGGCCATCTTCAAATTTCAATCCATATGCGTTTTTACAGAAAACCTAGGGGAGTTAAACTTAGAAAATAGTATTTGGTCCTCAGTTTCGGTAGCATCAAATCTGACTCATGGTTCGTCTTATGTACAACAATGATCTGCAACATCTTATCGCAAAGTTTGTACTTGATCTCGAAAATTTGTAAAATAAAATTGAGAAGTGAAAAGATTGTTAGGATGTTGAAAAAATAGTAAATGAGCAAGCTAAGAAGATGCTTGACCAACTGATAGAGCAGCCAAAAACTTTTCATGAGAGAAAGTTAAGTTCAAAAATGGTTCCATTAGAATTTTGGATGATTCGGCGAGATCAAAAATCTCAACTCATTGATATAAAACAAAATCTGGAGAGAAGTAATAAATTTTTTTTTGATTTTAACAGTCGGAGATATGACTTAAAGTTGATCAAGCCAAACATAAGTTCTCATTTGATTTCCAGTAGAGAGAAAGAAATTTCAATGATTGAAAATGCAAATATTTATCTTTCTATCAAGTCTAAAGATGTGCACTTTTTCAATGATATCAAACTTCTAGATAGTACAACAATTCCGGATTCTTTTATCTTAGTCAAAAATCATTTTCTGAGAAAGGTATCTTCCTAATTTTTTCATCAGAAAAGGATCTATTATTGTGTGACTTGTTTTTTCTAAAAAAAAAACTGAAATCAAATGTCCCTCCAAACTCCAAGCAAAAAGCTGTTGAAAGAAATGTTATCAAAAACTACATGATCTATTATGTAATCATTGTTGAATTGTGAAAACACCTTCGGCAATTGTTGAGGAAGCTATGCTTTTAGTAGTTCGACAAAGTTTTAATTGTGGAAACAGACTTGCTTTGCTGTGTACCATCTGGACAGTGTTTGATCATAAAAAAGAAATGGATGAAAAAACTCCTTCAAGAGTTGTAGCAGAAACAACGAAAACTTCAAGCAATTCCTCCTATGGATACCAGATCAAGGATAAAACCAAGCATCCGATCACAAAATGATGAGATGATCGGTCAATGAACAATTATTCAAAAGACTGAAAACTATTTACAAACAATTGAATGAGGTTGAGCTAATGAATTCAACAATTGAGTAGAAACAACTCAAAACTGTCGAACTGCTCATACTACATTACCCAAAGCTAAGAAAGTGGAAGCTATACTGTTGCTTGTTTGAACAAGTCTTTAATGTGGGCACAATTGTAACACAGCTTTTACTGAGGAAAGTTATAGAAAATGGTTTGCAGTGTACCGTCCAGTCAGTGTTTGATGATAAAAGAGAAGGCGATGAAAATCCTCTATCACGAATTGTAGCAGAAACAATGAAACTTTTAGTCAATTCCTTCTATGAAAACCAGATTTTGAATGAAACCATGCATCCGATCACAAATTATCAGAGAGATGACTTGAGCGCTTTTTGAATAATTATTCTAAAAACTGAATACAGCTCACAATGAATTGTGTGAGGTATCTCTATTCAGCGAGAGTATATCTCAACAATTCAGTGTAACGAACTCAGACTTATCGAATGCTTCATACCACTTTACGCAAAGCTGAGAAGGTCTAAGCTAATTTACTACTTGTTTGACTGAGTTTTCCGAAGCTCTTCCTGTAAAAAAAATGAGATACATTATTAAAAACGATTTTTTGAAAATGAAAGTCTGTAGTAAATTAATACGATAATATGGCTAAAACTTTTTTGAAGGACATATTTCACTGAAATTTCAGTAGACTTCCGCATAAATAGTCTCAACATAACATTGAGTAATCAAAATAATAAATAAAACTTCTGGTAGTAGAAAAACGTCATATAGGCCGTAAATTCAAATTCTGATTAAAAAATAGACGAAAAATTCATCTTCAACAGAAAAAGGACAAACTTGAACTTCAATTTCATCTTTTTTTTATAACAATATGTTACCAAGAAACCAAAAAATATCGAACTATGGTATCATTCTTCAACCTACACGTTTTATATCTTAAATTTTTACCATTTTGATAACACTCGCTCATTTTTGTGTACACGAAAACCACAAAGAAAACCAGCCAGTTTTCTCACCATTCTCTCACTTTGGTACAAAATTTTTTTCTGTTGCCAATTTTGTTCCCTGTCTGATACTTCATGGAGAAGTATGAGACAGTCTCATACTTCTGTATCATACTTCATGGAGAAGCGGAACCTGAAATTCTGTCAGTTAATACATAAAATCAATCAACCCCCCCCCCCCCCCCCCCCCCAGCATCTACATCTCTTATTGATTTAAGTTGAAAAAACGCCATTTTATTCTGACACTAAACAAATCCGCTCTGATAAGGTTTCCCTATTATTTTTCTCATATTCGTGTCCGTAAATTTCTTTTGAAGTTTCCTTTCTCAAAAATTATTAAATGAACTCATTTCAGAAAATCATTTGTTTCGTTCAAAAATTTAAAAGTTAACTTAGTTTGTCGGCAATGAGTGATTGCTCAATTATGAAAAAAAACGATCTAGAAATTCGCAGTTTTTTTTCACCAATTTGCTCTATACGTTGAATTTAGCTACCGAAGTAAAGGATTTCTGTTGATTTCCGCCTTTTTATTTCATAAAAGTTGTAAATTTATATCAATCAATTTGCACCTCCACAAATTGAACTGATGAGCTGTATATTCGAAAGAGTGCAGACAAATAAGTTTTTCCTCTAGCTCTTCAAGTGCTCGGTAAACTATTACTTCACCCTCGTACTGACCCCGTTGTACTATTTCATCTCTAACTTTTGCTGGTGATTTGGGATCGGGAGATTGCTCTTTCTTTTTTTGTTTCGTGTTTTTTCTTATAGTTTGTTCTTTCGATACTGCTGATACTGGAGTGTTGTTTGATTTTTTTTCTATTTCGTTAGGATAAACGTCAATTCGTGTTTGGTTTGGAACCGGGGGTAGCATAATTGGCTCAAAGTAATAACGGGAAAACTGGCAAAAATTTTTGCGTCTGGACTTACCTCTTTCGATGTACTCTTTCTGCTCAACCGTTAACATCAGATGAAACCCTGTCTCGTTGCCGCGAATGTCACTGTCAGATCTTCCTGCTTGTTCAGAAGATGTTTCTGCTTGTTCAGAAGATGGTATTGGCCTTGCCTTTGTAACCATTGGCCAATAAAACTGGGGGAAATAAAAAATCTGAAAAAAAAGGGAATAGGGGAACTGAAATATACCTCTGTTTGGTAATTTCATTTCGGAGATAAATGAAAAAATTATAAAATGACGTAAACAGAAACTAAAGTTTCATTTTTTTGCGCGCTCATAATGCAATGTTTTATGAAAAAAATTTGTTATTTACTTTACAGCTTATACTTTGTTCTGTACAGCATTGAGCTTTGTACCAGAAAAATTAGACAAACTATGCTCAGCAAAACGGCTTCTCAAAAAAAACCAGCTTTATGTTTTTGGCTCGCAATCTATTAAAAAACGTGTCTGTTGACTGGCTCAAGATTACTGTAGCAGAGCATGACATCAAAAAACTAGTAACGCAGCCAGTTGGTTTTAAAATTGACTCAGAATAAAAAGCATGCTCTACAATTTTCAGTAAAGTTAGCTGCGTTTCTAAATTTTTTGTAATAAAATTGGAAAACAGACTCTCGGCTATTTTGTTGCGGCAACGAAAAAACTTGCTAACCTTCTTTTCAAAGTAAATTTCTCTTCTGTATTCCATAATGCTCCGATTTAGCTGCCTCTAAACTTAAAGAACAACCATTACTTTTAGAAATAAGGCAGCTAATTTTTGACAGGGTAATTTTTTGGCGCATTTTTTTTGCAAAAAGTGTCAAAGGGGACAGTTTTGTAATTACTGCGAGACCTTTTTTTGATATAATTTGGTCCATTCGTTTTTTGTAACTTTCCGGTAAGCTGATTTCAATCAAATGAAATTTCAACACTTTAGTTGTTGGGTTTGGTATCTCATAATGCAACTTTTTTAATCAACAAATAGTTACAGATAAAAGTCAAAATTTCCTAGTTGATTTGCGCTTTATGCAAAAAACCAAACGCAAACTGGCATATTGCTTAAAATATTGCAGTGGTCTAGTGGTGATCGAAACGCCTGCGCGTCGATTCATTGCTCCGAAAACCACCTGGCGTTTTCAGAAACAGCTCGCGTCTCGGTTTTGGTAAGCTCACAATGGGTTTTGAGCTGGCAATTTAATCTGCTGATTTTGCATTTGGCTGAAGTTTAACTGGCTGCAGTATACCTAATTGTTTTCCTCGATATTTCCGCTGTTTCTGGACCCTCAATTCTGATTGATTTTACAACACTCGGGCCTTCCACCCAAAAAAGACTTGACTGGCGGGTAATTTTGAAGCGGCTTTTGCTGCATAGTGTCAATGCATCAATTGTCGCTCAATAGGGGTGCCCAGGTTCAGATGCTCGGTTCATGTTTTGACTTTCAAAGTCGAGCCTATGTATGTGCTCGGCCAAAAAAGAAAAGCCGAGACATGTATTTCAGTCGAGCACGGTAGAGAAGGGTAGAGCAATGTCAAAACTTACCTCGAATATAGTCGGAACATATCAAGCAGCGCCGAAACATACCTCGAGAATGGTTGAAAATTTGAAATGAGCAATGATACATTGCCTGATTTTCTATCTGAAAATTGTATCGCAGAAAACGAGACGTTTGGTTTTTATCAGCCTTGGCTCGAGATTTTTCCAGCATAAATTGTTCAGCGAGACCATCGAAACATATCTTGCTTGGGTCGAGTACGGTCGAGGAAGGTTAAAAAATACTCGGAGTCTGCTGAGACGTCAAAAAATCCTGAACTTTGGTACAGATGATCGATACAATCCAAGTTTTGGTGAGGCATTGGAACAAAGAGTGAGCACGTCGATTACATCAAATTTCATGTCACATCGAAATTCGCCATTTTTAAATTTATGATTCGTAAAACTTTTTCAGTTTTGATTTTTTTGTCAATTGAATGACATAATTATATCATAAAACAGTAAATTTTACGTAGTTTCAGCAACAATTTTCGGCAAGTCATCTTCTTTGCTCTTTTTCCCTCTCCCTCCTAAACATTTGACACCTGCATTTGCCTGTCAGAAACTGTTATATAAAAAACACCAATCCTTACCAAACAAAGTAACTGGTTTGAAACTTCTACAACACTGTTTCTGTTGTCTGTTTGCGCTCTGAGCCAGGTTTGGTTTCTCATTATGCAATTTCTTAATCAACGCAAAGTTATAGAAAAGTGTCAAAATTTCCGACTTGCTTCACGTTTTATGCAAAAAACCGAACGCAAAACTGGCAGATTGCTTAAAAAACTGAAGTGGTCTAGTGGTGATTGAAATGCCTGCGCGCCGATTCATCGCTCCGAAAGACACCTGGCATTTTCAGAAACAGCTCGCATCTCGGTTCTGGCAAGTTTACAATGCGTTTTGAGCTAGCAGTTTTATCTGCTGACTTTGCATTTGGCTAAAGTTTAACTGACTGCGATATACCTAATTGTTTTCCTCGATATATTCGCTGTTTCTGGACACTCAATTCTGATTGACTTTCCATCACTCGGGCCTTCCACCGTAAAAGACTTGACTGGCGGGTATTTTTTGAAGAAGCTTTTGCTGAATAGTGTCAATGCATCAATTGCTGCTCAGCAGGGGTACCCAGATTGAGATGCTCGGTTCATGTTTCGACTTTCAAAGTCGAGCCTATGTCAATGCTCGGCCAAAAAAGAAAAGCCGAGACATGCATTTCGGTCGAGCACGGTAGTCCAGGGTGGAGCACTCTCGAAACTTACCTCGAATATAGTCGGAACATATCAAGCAGCGCTGAAATATACTTCGAGCATGGTAGAAACATACCTCGAGAATGGTTGAAAATTTGAAATAAGCAATGATACATTGCCGGATTTTCTGTCTCAAAATTCTCTCGCAAAAAAGAGACGTTCGGTATATATAAGCTTTGGCTCGAAAAATTTCCAGCATAATTCTTGCGGCGAGACCATCGAAACATATCTTGCTTGGGTGGAGCACGGTCGAGGACGGTTAAAACATAATCGGATTCTGTTGAGACGTCATAAAATCGGGTATCTATTTCTGAGAAGCCTTTTACTTTGAGTAGGCTGTGCGTGCAGTCAGAACGTTATACAGTTTATTTAAACTTGATTCAAAGATTGAAACTGTCAAATATAGTTGTTTTAATTTAGGTTACACTTGAGATCAGTGTTTTTGGAAAATAATTTTAAAGTAAAGGTAATTTATAAATTCCACACTGTTGTTTTGGACCAGTTCTCTAAGGGCAACATGATGTGATAAATGAAAGACAAAATAACTATCTTATGGGACAGCAAATGAGTGTGGGGGACAACAACCCATGCCAAATCCTAAGTATCTCACATAAATGAGATAGATTGAGAACATTGTTATGGTTTATGCCGAACTCCTTTTATAACCAAACAATGGTCGTAGCATAAAATCTGACATCTTATAAAAAACATAAAATTTGTGATAATGATTTAACAATTTGAACTTGTTCTAAACTATGTTCAAATTTACTGATCAAAAGCAACATTAAAAAGTGAATGATCGAACGATTGTCGATATGAAACATATTTAGCGGGTATCGAATTAGTGCTAAAGGCCAAGAGGTTAAGCAAAATGATCAACTCACAAGATGCACCAACGGGAAAAATTCAAAATTCAACAAATAGCTGATTTTGTCACGGCTACAAAAATTTGCTGGGATATGTCAATAATTTTCTACAATGCTATAGGAAAACTAAGTTTAAAAATCAAAATGGCCGTTTTCAATCAAATAGTTCAATTCTAAAAAAGATATATCCACGAATTTACTTTCAAAAATTATGTAAGATTTGCTCGCGGATTCCTCAGACAATGGTTAAGTATTTGTTCGTAATTTCCGCATTCGCTGTTCTAGCTAGCCAAAACTAAAATTGGTTATTTCTGGATATCTCACTTTAAATCTACAGAATCCGCTAACAGTTTGGGGAATAAAAAAAAACTGTCGCGCTCTAACACAATAATTTATTAATAATTATTACGTGAGATCAAATAAAACAGCTACTCAGCCCCCCTCACCTTTTCCAGAGGTGAGAATCAACCAGCATTATGCTGAGGATATCATCTGGGAGCCACCCAGACTCATTGTCACCCCCGAAAATAGTACAAAGCGATTGAACTGAGGCTTCAAATGAGGAGTGCCCATAACATAAATGGAACATTTGCCGGAGTTGTTCAGCAAACCACGCCGCCCAGAAGAAAAACGAGGCCAATAAGAAGATGGTAGAAGTTGTACTTTCCAGCTTAGGTGAAAGAAAAATCTTCCTTCAAAACTTTAAACTCCTTTCATTCTCGGAAACATTTTATCAGTTTTCGAATCAATTTATTTACTTGTTCTAAATTATGTTCAAATTTGCTAATAAACTATTCTAAAAAATAAACCCTGAATGTGTACAATTATGTACACTAAATCAGAAAATATGAGAATAACTTGATTAAGAAAAAAATACGAATGTCTAACCTAAAGCAATAATAAAAATTGATTGATCGACAGATGGTCGATATGAAACATTCTCAGCAGATATCTAATGAGTGCTAAATGCCAATAGGTTAAATAAAATGAACAACTCACAACATTCCCCAACGAGAAAAATATATAATTTTACAATTAGCAAAAACTAAATCTATATACATTCATTTCCTCCTTCAAAGTAGAGATAAACAAAATTTACAAACTGCACAAAGAAAATGAAATGAATAGAACAAAAACTTGCTATCTACAGTTAGGTTGGTATGTGCAAACATGCACAACTGTGTGAATTTTTACAAGCAGCTACCTAATCTACTTTAAATATACAAATTTAAAAAATAAACTTAAGCTACAAACTGTATGCACATGACTTGAAACATGGAAAAAAATCGTAAAATAAAGAAGTTTGAAGATAGGGTTGTAATGAGTTCTATGACTTTTAAATGTGTTCGGCGTCAAATTTTTTTAAAGATTGTTTCACGTCCTGATCTATCGTCCAGGATATTTCGCTCCCGGAATCTTGCTCTGCGACTATGATGGGTGATTTGCAGGTGGGAAACTTCCACGATGTCTGAACGTACCCCGCTTTCTCGAGGGGAATGACGAAATCATAAGGAGACCAGCACAAAAAAGCAGGTATTGTAGATCTGGGTTGCGTGGCACTAGGAGGTGAAACTGATCCGAAGGATGATGGTCCAGGAAGGCTGCTGTCTTGAGACGATTTCCCAAGGGAATCCGATATGACGATATTTTCTGTCGGCGAATTTGTGGTCGTTTGTGTGAGCGTCGGATTTCCGCCAATCAAGTTCCTACTGGTCGTCTTCTTCTGAAGGTTGGCTCTAGTTGACTTCTTG